CGGTGTCGAATCGTACTGTGGTCAAACGGAACACGCCCGGTAAAAAGGCTTGGGCGGATATATCCGCCGCTCGTCCGCAAAGGGTTAATCAGACTAATGTTTATAATTGAAATTATGTTATAGTGAGGATCAAAATATTAATTTATGTATTAACATTATTAAGTATTAACATTAGCTGTGAAAATTGATGATCATTATTGCTGTCTAATGTTGAAATGTAAGAGATACATTGTGTGCGTGTTTATATTGACAAGACTCACAATGTAAACGGCGTTCTTCTTCGGTTGGATGGAAGCGATGCTGATTTTTGCCAACGTAGTTCGAAGGTTGCTAAGTTCGTCTTCGCGCTATTTGCAGGTAATCGCAAGTGGAGTCAGCGACGGCCTTAGGAGATTCGCCAAATAAAAAGATTGCAAAATTTCTAGACTTAAAACGGACTGACTGATTGACTTTTGATCACTGATTTTACTGTGTTAAAGCTGTGCTCGAATTATTGTAGATAAAGACTGGACTGCCGAATAACTATGTTGAACTGTCTCAATTGACTACTATCAAACTGACTTCCCGTTCTAGGAACTTGGGCTTTTAATTAATGCTCCCTGGCTTCCCCTTTCTTGTCGTCTTTTCTCGAAATTACGATTTCACATTCATTGATTCTCAGAAACGAGGCTCCACTTCAGATCAATTTTCCGGATTGGTAGGGTCATAATTTGTTTAAACTTGTGGTTATCCGTACGTGCTTTATCTTATCTAAGTCTGCATTCTGCAGTCCTAGCCTCTTGATTTTACGATTTCTCTTCTAGTATTACGAGAGCTGTGGCAGCTTGTCAAAATTTTCAGGCGTGTGACTCCTATACAGAAAGCTATTGTTTCTTAAAATTTCTTTTTAAGAATCGATAAGATTTGTTTATTATTTTCGGTGCTCTCGGCTTGATTGTTTCTAATGCGGCATCTGGCTCGGGTCTTTCTATCTTATCTTTCTTCTCTCCTTCCAGGAATTTGTTACCAAAACTATTTCTTAAAATTTTGACTAGGCTTAACAGTTAGTTATATTGTGATGCAAAATGAAGGGGACCGTGAAGTTCAGGACGTAACAGCATATACATAATAAAAGGTAACCGCGCGAAGCGCGTCGGGCTATCTTACGCGCGTAAGACAGCCAGATGCATGCTTATTCGCGGATATTTGGTAATTAAGATCTCGGTGATTATTGCAAATTTTGCAAAATGATATAAAGACTTTTTGACTCAGTTTTACTTTTTTTACCTGCCTACAAGAGATTTTACACCAATTGTCGGACATCTTATGTATATATATATATATATATATTTGTATGTATATATATGTGTATACTACTGTGATCAAAAAGTAAGGTGAAATTGTCATTTAAAACTCCCGGGCATTAGGAAGGCAGGTAATTTTTTTTTCCTAGGTTGGTAGGACTGTCTATAATATTTGCCAAGCGTCTGTTTGTCAAAAGGTTTTATTATCTCCGAGTTACACGTGTTTTTGTAAACAATCAAAAGTGAATTTTTCGACTTTTACAATGGGTGATTTTGTTGAGCAAAGAACTTGCATCAAATTTTGTTTGCGGAACGAATATTCTTGTGCGGACACGTTGAAAATGTTGCGGAAGGCCTTTGGTGATCAAACTATGGCACAAAAAAACGTTTATAAGTGGTACAACGAGTTCAAAG